AGAGGCGAGCACCAGGAGGGAATTACCTCGCACGGAGGGCGGCCGCAGGATGCTGCGGGTGCCGAGCCCCTTGGCGGCGGGGAAGTGCAGGCTGGGCAYGGCGGCATAGGCTGGGGGTGCATAGAACACCGGGGCACCCAGGTAGGCGGTGGCAGGCTCGTACAGGTGGCCCAGGGCGTAGGCATAGTCRCCCTGCAGCGCCGGGGCCCTGCCACCCGTGCCCCGCGTGTAGCGCACGTAGCTGTCCTTGTCCACYGGCTTGGCCAGTGTCACCTCGATCGGGGACCCGTCCAGCACCTGCAGCGTGGCGACAAGCACAGGTGTTGGTGGCCACAGTGCCCCATGGAGATCCCACCCAAGGAGGAACTGCTCCCATGTCCTAATGGGATGGRAGGATGGAGGGAACCACCCCAAAAAAACCCCAAATCTCCCTCCCACAGGTGGAAGGAGGAGCTGGTTGGGTGAAGGGTTAACCTGGCCCCAGCTGGGAGAGGCTCCCCAGCAAAGCTTTCAGAAGATTTCTCTTCCCTGCAAAGCAGCTCCAGCGAGATTCCGTGTGCTCCCGTGGAGAACAGCAGGGCCACTAAAAATAGGAGCGGSGTTAGCACCTCTTTGGGAACAGCTCCGGCTTTGCAGTGAATTACATGCAGTGCAAGAAGGGCTAAATTCAGCAGCCTCCTCGCAAATCCGCAGCTGAATTTGGAGCAGATGTTTGGGCTGACCTCGTTTGGCCCAGTTTGCCATTCACACGCTGCCCTGCCAGTGTTTTTGTTGGCAGTCTGGAACAAGGATGTGAGTGTGAGCCAGGGGGGATGGTAACCCCTCCTTTCCTAGTTCTTTCTTACAGTTTTTTCTGCTTTTTTTTTGTCTGAGCAGTGAGCTAGAGCCGGGCAAACACTAAGCACAAATACAGGGAGCCAAAATGTATCGTTTGTGTGCGACAGAGCTGCTGAAAAACAAATTCAGGAGTATAAAAGCAGTCTGCGAAGAGAAAATCAGGATAACACCTCTGGGAGGGTTTTGTGGCTAATAAAGCAGGTGGCTTTGTGTAATATACTGCACCTAAGCCTCAGGAATTAACATTTCCAGCAGCTTTACCTTCCCATTCAAGGCTTTCATGGCCTCCACTGCATGTTCTCTTTTATTAAAGTGCACAAAAGCGTAGTCTCTAATTTTCTTTACTCTCTCTACCGCACCTGTGGAAAACATTGAAATATTAGTGGGAAATTGGTATTCGATGAGAAATAGAGATCAGGAAAAGCAACTGTGTTGGGTTCTGAGCCCCTGGAGAGCAAAGGCTGAGCAAGGATAAAAAAACAAGGGGACAACATGCCCTTCCCTCCCTCTCAGGATGTATGTTCCACAGGAAAATCAAGATATAGAGCTTGTAGCATTTCAAGGAAAACCAGAAGGTTTGGGGATTAGACACCAGTAAGTTTCCCATTAAATTGGAAAGGTTTTCTCCTGTTCAAACTGTCCGTTGGACACCACCTTTGCTCTTGTGTGCCCCTTCTGTCACAGACCATGCACCAGCTGTGGGAACATCACCACGTGATCCCGTTTCCTGGCTTTTGTATACGCATTGGAGGCAGCTGCAGGGAATTTGATGCTTTTGCTATAAAACAAGGATGCTTTTCTCTTAAACACCAGCTCAGGATGTTCAGGAAGAATGAAAAGCCAGCCCTGCTGGGACACAGCGGCCCAGGGTACTGGGATGGGCTGGGACTGATGGGGCAGCAGTTCTCTCCCTAAAAACAGCCTTTCCATGTCAGTGGGGCTTCCCTGGATGCCCCATTCTGCCTGGGCATGGCTCCAGTCAGCCTCTACAGCTGAGGATTGGCCCTGCTGGGAGCAGGCTTGGGCTGGAGAATCTTTCTTCCAGCCTGAACCTTTCTTACACACAMTTTACCCGAAATAATTCAAATGTAAATGACTTCTTCTTGTTGTTCCCTAAGTCCATCCTCCAYGGTTTTCCTTTCCCTTTTTTTTCCCTTGGCAGCTGCTCTGCTGCCAGGAACTTACACTCTACACTGGGGAGTCTGTCTCCAAAATAACCCACCAGTCCTGTTCCCCACGGCCAAAAGCTTCACCCATTGCTTTAATTGTTCTTCTTGTCTCCTGTGGCTGGGGGAGCACAGCACCAGCCARCCCAGCCTCCAGTAAACCCCCTAAAAATATCCTTTGGAAACATGGCTCAGGGATGTTGAACAGCCCTTCTGTTGGCTCCTTACCTCCTAAAGCTGAACAGGTGCACAGGGAAATGTCAGATTGCCACAAAAAGCACTTACTTAGAAAAATACAGGAGAAAATGGATTTCTTTGGCACTCAGGAGGAGTCATTAGGAGCTGCAGAGKCTAAATGGGCCTTTCCTAGCCCAGAACCCAAGCAGGCTGCACGTCTTGGAATGACACAGGGATRGTAAAGCAGCACTTTGTGTCCTTCTGGGACAGAGGGTGATTTTCCAAGCCTCAAGTGATGGGAGTTAGATGCTGATGATTTGTTTACAAGTGGAAGCTTTAATGAACTCACTSTATTTTGAATATCCCCCTTCTGCCTCCTTTAGAATGTTCCCGGACGCCAATGCTGAAGCAAAAATCCTGCTTTTTCCTGCTTCTACCTCTGCTGGGCAAACCATTGTGATACCCACCCTTAGGTCAGCTCCATGGGAAGCCCACCCATGGGACATTAGAGGGAGACATTGTCCCTCCAGCCCACCAGGAGAGCACAATCTTCCTGCTGGGAATGCTACCAGGCAGCAGGAATTCCATTGGGATCCCAGCAAGGACAGGGCTTTTCAGTGAGACATCTCTACAGAAGTCATGGGGCACTGAATTTGGCAGATTTCAGGGGGGAAATTTGTTCTAAATCCCAGCTTGAGGAGCACAGGCAGCATTCYTGGTCCTGTCTGTGCAGCCCTCAGGGGTGTGGTAATTCCTATGGCATGGGGCCCTCTGGATCATTTCTTGTTGGATGAGCTGTTGCCCTGGATCAGAGGTAACTCCAGGTAAATGATGCTGAAATGTGGCTCAGTGAGTGAGAGAACCAAGGCAGGGGAGGGAATAATTTCAGATCCTTGCTGGCTTTTTTTTTTTATCTCACAGTAACTTAAACTGCATTTGGTGTTCCCAAAGCTGGAAGTTTTGCTGTTCTGATGCACCCATTCCTGATTTTAGCCACCCAAATTAAAGCTGTCCATTTAAAAGGAAAAAAAAAAAACCCAAAAAAAACAAAAACTCCAACATGAACGCTGAAATGATAAAGGGAAAAGGAAAGACGAYACAGAACTTCTGCTGTTAGAGTGGAGAACTTCCTAGGAGCAAAGCAGATGACTGTTACCAAAGTGTCAAAAGGGCATAAATGTGTTTCTGGGGAGCRTGAGCTTGTTCAAAGCTCAGGAGCAAAGCTGGGTAAATAGAAGGAAACAGTTCGGAGAGTGGGATAACACAAATTTAACTCAGGGGTAAAACTGGGTCTGCAGCAGCTCAATGGTGGCTGAAAGRATGAGCAGAAATGCTGGAAGGACACAAGAAAACCTCATGAAGACCTTTCAGTTGCAGACTAGCACAGAAAAAGGCATGTACAGAGCAAAAGGGACAAGTTAGTGAAMGAAAAATGAAGCTCTGCAGCATATTTTAAAAAATTAATAGAAGGAAATGAAGAGGAATGAGATGAAAGGAGATTTCACATCGCCAAGCAGAAGTTCCTAATGCCTGATGGACTGYGTGGCTTGCAGGGCTGCAGAAATGGGTTATTTTTGCTTTATTGGTTTTGGGTGGAATTTCCTAAAGCTGGAGCCACTCAGAAGTAAAATCTCCTTTGAAAGCCAGCAGGATTTTTATTCCCAACTAATCTCCTTGCTTTTTTGAAAAATCTCACCCTAAGCACATGTAAGATATGCCACAAAGGAATAATGAATTAAATGTAAAGCACTAATTATTCACCAATTTACACGAGGACTGGGGGGGATGTATGAAAATGAGTTTAGCATTTGGAGAGATCAGATAAAAAGGATTTGCATGAAGTCACTCTATTTTTATCGACATCCCTTGCCACAGAAGGAGGCTGAAGTCACCCAGCTGCTTCACCAGCTCTTTTTAAGGAAGATTAAATGATTTCAAACTGTTTTGATGACACAGGGCATCCCCATGCAGCATTCTGGATCTTTTCCAGTTGCCAATCATCTTTCTTTGTGGGATTTAAGCAGCCCTTAATGGGATGACATTTGGGGTGGGAGGCTGAAGGCTTTTTGGTGGCATTACACATGAACATTTGGAAGCAGAGAAACAGCTGCCTGATGGCATTTGGCATCTTGGGAATGGGGAAATATTTCCATCTGCAGTGCTGCTGGAGGCACCTCGTGGGTTCCTACCTGGTTTGATGTTGTTGAACTCCTTCTCTATGGTCTCCTCGGTGGTGGAGAGCATGAGGTTCCTCACGTAGAGGATCTTCACCGAGGACATGGTGTCCTCATCCACCTCCACCTCGGGCTCTGCCCAGTCCACGGCGATGGGGTGTCCCCACAGCTGGATCCTCCCTTTAAGGCAAAGGGCATGGTCAGTGCTGGGGCTGTGCCTGCTCTCCCTCCTGCTCAGGCCCTATTTCACASCACAACAAGCCAAATTCTACAAACACAGCCAAAAACAGCCTTCCCAGCTCAGAGCRCTGCTGCTGCTGCTTCAGCTCCCTTCCACAAGCAGCTGGTCACCCTTGGAATGTCCTTCTGAAATACCTTTGGAGCCTCCTGAACTGAAAGAAGCGAAAATATGGAATAATTCACTTAAAGCATGCATTCCCTGGAGTGCTCCTAAAGGGAAACATTTCAATGTACTGATAAAAATCCCTTTYGGCCACCAACGTTCCATGCCCTCAGTGGTAGAACAGGGATCCTGAAGTTCCAGCAGGATGGAACAAAATAGCAAAAGCAAAGATGTCTCTGTGTGGGTTTGAACTTGTTTGGGTAGAGCTGCAGCAGAAGAAAAGAGGGATACAAGAAGCCCTGGGGCATAAAACAGGGTGTGGGTGTGGAGGATAAACCCAGGGGCTCTGTGTTGACTGGACTGAGCTGCTGAGGGGCAGGCAAGGAAAGGAGCAAATAAATCCCATCTCAGAGAGGGTGTTCCCACTCCTCCAGGCTCAGCTCCAGGTTCCAAAGCACCAGATGGGAACCTTTCACTGATCCCAAGGGGAATTCCCATAGCTCCACATTTCCTTCTGTCTCCATACGTGTGTATTATCAATGCTGCCATTTCACATTTGTCRTGGAGACAAATCTGACTAAGTCAGATTTAAGGTTATGTTGTGCTTATAGAAAATCGTATTGAATTGTTTCAGAGGTGTTCAATTGGTCAATTTATTAAGGACTGCCAGTGTGGGTTTGATTAGATTTGTTATAAATGACAAACCCTGATTAGATATTGTTACAAATAACAAACCCTGATTAGATATTGTTATAAATAACATAACTTAGACCTAAACTGTTGATCCAGCCGGACTGAATCTGGCAAAGTGGTTCACCCTGTTGGGATTCAACCCTTAGAATCCCTTACTTTTTCCCTACTTACCTCTTTTCCCTCACTGGTCTCCACATGAATCATTCCAGATTGCTTTAATCTGATTTTTCTTTGCCTTCTTTATCTGTACAGTAATTAATAGAGTGAACCTTTCCATCAAACTCTGTTGTGCMTTCCCAAATCCATATTTAACCTGGTTTTGCCCAGGCCTTGCTGGTGATTCTTTARGTGACCTAAACCACTCATTTGCAGCTGAGGGGATGAAGCCAATCCTGCCAAACATTCTTTGCTGGATCTGAAAAGGACTCTCTGCTTGGACAACCTGTCCAAGCAGGGGTGGGAGCTCCAAAATAAGAAGGTGAGGACAGAATTTGGAGGCTGATTGGAAGTGTCAGTGATCAAATGAAACAGAAGGATGCTGTTCCCTGGGAATCCCTGGGGAATGAGCTGGGATTTGTGGAGCGAGGCTGAGCTGCTCTCAGCACTGATTTGAGCTGTCAGTGACCAGAGTTAAAGACAGGGCTGCTCACGGCTCTGTGTCCCTCTCTGAAATGCTGTAATCTTGAGRTTTTTTTCAGTTTTCAGTTCAGGAGTGGGAATAATTAGCTGGCTGACTTGCAGCAAGGAGCTAAGCTCGCTGCCTCTTGCTAAAACCCAGTCTGTCTCCACCCTCCTGTTTAGCCAGGAGACAGGAAAAAATTTCAATTTTTTAATAAAAACTCTCAATTTTTGAGCACTTCTTCTGCAGAGTTCCCTCAGAGAGCAGCGAGGTTCAGTGTAAAGAAAGCATCTTGATAACAATATTCACTCTCACATCAGCTGGAGACACAATGAGCTCTGGCTCGAAACTATTTTCCGGTTTCTGCCATATGCTTGAGACATCAGAACATTCTGGCTCCTGCTCAGGCCCCTGGAATTCCCTRAATTGTTTACTGAGATGTCCCCAAATCGGAAAGCCCTCATGCATTTCACATGTCTGCTCAGGGCTCTGAGTTCCTTCCATCTGTCTCGCTATCTTTGCTCAGGATTTCAAGTGCTCTGCCTGCTCCTGCCTTCCTTTTCCACATAAAAACCACGGAAAAGTCCTGCCAAAGCACAGAATGTGCTCCCACAATCAGGGAGATGCTTAAACTGATGCAGGAAACACAAAATAAAAGGAAAAATTATCAATGTGAGATATCTCACAGCAGCAAAGCGAATTCAGTGCTCAAAATCATGTTTCTTTTTCCACAATAAGAAAAAAAAAATGATGCAGGGTATTGCATGGGCTGTTGTATCAAACAGGTGAAAGAAGGCTGGTGGTTGTGAACAAATCTCAAACCCCAAGGTTTGTTGGATGCTTTCACCAGCAGGTCAGCTGGGCTCAACACAGCAGTGCAGGAGCAGARGAAAACAAGAGAAAACTGGTGAAATCCCTGCAAATGCACTCAAAGCTGAGTGACTCCTTCCCCTAATACCTGCTAAAACTCTCTCTCCTTCACAATGGTCTTTGGCTGGCCTCCAGTGCTGAATTTCATAAAGCAACTCCTCATTCCAAGCTTTCCTGCCAAAATATCCATTTTCAGGAACATCCTCAGTCCATTCCCCAGCCTGAATCCGCTCTCTACCCCTCCCTGAGAGATTCTYCTCACTGAGGCCGTATTTTGTGTTGGAGACAAGGGCAGGACAAAGCCCATCCTACTGCAGAGACACACTGAAAATTAAATTAAAAATTAAATCCACCTGAAGATGGATTTTTAACAAACCCAGGCTCCTGAACGCCAGCCACGGCTCACCGGCACGGCGCTGCAGCAGGGGCTGGAGCCAATCCCACACCCGGCAGCCCATGGCCCAAAACTGCTCTCTGAGGGCAGGAAATGCAGCCACGTTGGCTTCCTTGGACTCCTGGGTCCCCGAGGTGTTGTCACCACGCCTGTTCTCACCTGGGAGCAGCTTCCTCCTGGCCATGGCTGCTGCCCGGTGGCTCTCGTACTCCACGAAAGCGAAGCCCCTGTTCTTGGTTTTATCGGCGGCGCTGGGGTAGACGATGACRTCCACCACGCCATCCGTGACCTTCTTCATCTCGGCCAGGATTTCCTCCCTCTTCTTGGTTTTGGGGATGCCCCCCACGAACAGGCGGCAGTTGTCCACGCTGGCACAGACGCCCAGGAGCCTCCCGTTCCTGAAACGACAGAGCTGCTCTGTCAGGGGTCAGGAGCCGAGAGAGGGAATGGTTGAAAAATTCCCCTCTTCTGTCTCAAAACACAAGCTTTTGGTGCCAACCATATTTTGGGATATTCCAGTGGCCTTGATCAATGCAGAAGCTGCCATTCTGCTATACCTGACATCCAAGTCAGGCAGCACAGCTGAAATGGAGGATTTGAGGGAGAAACCAAAGCCAAACTTTGCTTTTCCTTTTTGGGATTCCCCCTTTTGGTGCTCCACCCCACATCCCTTTTCCAAATCCAGGATTTGTTGGGTTTACCAGTGGCTTCCCACTCACCTCATGACTGGGGTTTTGGGGGAAGAAAATCCCTTGTCATGGAGAGGCAGCATTTGGGGACTCACTGATGCCAACTCTTGTGCAGACCCCAAAGTAAAAACTTCCTTTGTTCACCTCTTTGGGGTCAAAGTATCTCTTAGAGGTTTGGAGGAATGCAAAACTTCTTCAGAGGAGGGGCAAGGCAAGGAAGTGGAGGAGGTGGATGAAGCCTGACCCCTAAGACTTTCCAACCTCAGCAATAAATAACACCTCCAAGCTCTCCGTGTGCCTTTGATCTGCTCAAAGCAGTTCACCACCCATTTTTGTTTCTTAAAAGCAAAAATGAAAGCCATACAATTGGCACAATGGTTTATCCCGAAAGGTTTTTAAAGCAAAGGCATCATCTCATCCCACTCTCTGAACTGGCAAAAAAACATTTAGTGTGGTTGAAATCAAACCAACACGTATTGATAGGCCCATCTGTTGTTGATTTCTGGGTGTTTTGTTCCCAGTTTTTAGTCACAAACATGAGGGCCTTTTCTGTTCCTTTCTATTCAGAAATATCAGTGTTTTGCCAGTTGGTTTCCATCCTATTTCRCCAATTTTTTGCAATTGCTCCATCTCCCAGAACATATCTGCAGAACCTGTCATGAGGGAGGCTGTGAATAGAATAAATCGACAACAAACAACCTGAGGGGAACATAACAAACAGCACTGCTTAGGGGAAAGTTAATTTGATCCAAAGCTGAATATTTTTTTCCAATGTTCTGATGGATATGTTTTTTGGTTTTTTTTTGTGAGGAAGAAATTTCCTGTGAAAGATGTTGACTTTAATGAGCAGCGACTGAACAGRGAGAGAGGAGATTTCCCCTCAAAACTCTAGGGGATCTAAAAACTTTAGGGATCTAAATAACCTTGCTCTGGGCTGTCAGGAAAAATACCCCTTACGTGCCCAAATAGAGCAATATATGTGATTTAAAGTTGCTGGGAAGGTGTTTGCCACATTTACCTGATTTCATAATTATTGAGTGTCTTTATTGCATTCTTGGCCTCCTGTTTGTTGGAGAAGGTCACAAAGGCATAGCCCCTGTTGTTGCCATTGAAGTCCATCATCATCCTCATCTCATAGATTTTGCCAATCTGCCCAGAGAGAGAWGTTTGTCAGCAAGGTGGTGATGCCTTAGGATTTTTAGTTTCTATATTTTCATGCATCTGTATTCTCGTATTTCTCCAGTGCAGCACTAAAGCTCCTGTTCTCCCATCTTTAGACAAAACAATTCCTCTCTGAGCTTGAATCCAAGGACACATCACTGCCTCAGAGACCCAAAATATGGAAACAACAGAGAATTGGGGGGAGCAAGTTTGGGGTGATTGTCATCATTACCTGAAGGTGTCATTGGAGAATCGAGGCCCAATGTGTTAATAAGACAGAGCTTATAAAAGGTGAAGATCTTGTGACTCCGTGTCCATTTTGGGTGGAGCCTCAAGAGGAAGGGGCTTTGTCTGCCCTGAATGCACCTGTATTAAAGTTTCTATTCTCRTTCTCTTAAGTTTGTCTGGCCTCTGTTTCAGGTGAGCCTGATTTTAAGGCAACAGTGGGAGTGCTTGAAGAAGACTGGGATCTCAAAGCCCCCCCATTTCCAGTTCCATGGGCAGGGACACCTCTCCCTATCCCAGGTGAATCCGAGCCCCACCCTACCTGGCCTTGGAGTCATCTCTGATTCTACCCCAAAACGCAGCTCTGCCCATCAGGTCTCAGCAGGTCTCACCTTTTCACAGAGGGGGATAAGTTCATCCTCAAAGAGGTCTCGGGGCAGCTTCCCAATGAAGATCTCACAGCCCCTTTCCGGAGGAGGGCCGTCCCAGCCTGGTGGGGGTCCCCCGTATTTCCTCTGCCCATTTTCCTGCCAGGAGGAGACAAAAAGGAAAGAAAGGTYCAGCTGTGGATTTTTAAAGGTGGATCAGACCAACCCCTTCTCAGGGAATGACCCTTGAAGGAGACCCTCTGCTTCCCTTGAGCTCCTGACAGATTCTGCAGGGATAATGCAGTGTCCCAGAGCTGGGGTACTTCCAAAATCCAGGTGACTCCCTGGGAAATGGAAATCCCTGGGAAATGGAAATCCTCCTGGCTGTGGGAGGGGAATCTCTGTGGGCTCTGTGTTAACTGTGGGCTGGGTAATGGAACACATGCAAAATTTGTTATTTGTCTTGATTTTCATCCCATCCTGCCCACCCAGGAGCTCMTTCTGGCAGACGGCAAATCTTGGCCCCAAATGATGTTCAAAGATGTGAATCCCAGTCAGTATTTCCTTTTTGGTGTGTTTTTGCTAGATGAGTGTGTCTCTGTTCTCCTCTCCTATTTTTAATGATCCTTTCCTTTCATCCTTTCCTTTCCTTTCCTTTCCTTTCCTTTCCTTTCCTTTCCTTTCCTTTCCTTTCCTTTCCTTTCCTTTCCTTTCCTTTCCTTTCCTTTCCTT